CTTTTTAGAAGGGGCTTTTAACTCCATTTTAGAGCTCTGAACCAGAGTGGTACCATTTTGTATATCCCATTTCACAATGCCAAGCAGAGCGCTTTTAGAACACAGAGTGGAAGATGCATAGGTACAGGCGCATAGAGGCAGGGGCAGCACAGGCTCAGAGATGGAGAAGTATGGGCATGTTCCAGAACATGAAACAGGAGATTGGCTAGAGCTCAGGGCGAAGTGAATGAAGCTGAGATATGGAAAAAGCCAAATGCCATTCCACGTACTTCTTTTAAAAAGCCAGGAAAGATCCCACACCCATTAGAAAGATTCCATTCCCAAATGATTTTACTTTTCCAAAATCTGCTCAGAGGGCTAATATTCTGTATTCTGGGAAATCTGTTCATGGTAAACCTTATTCCTGTAATTCTGGATCAGTGAGGCATTGTTCCCATCGAATCTCCTCCCACCTTTCCCGATAGTCACCACCCTACACCCTTGGTCTTCCAAAATGAGCAAGGTAGGGAGAGGAAAATAGCTTTCCTTTTCTAAATAAGCAGGAACTACGATCCCCAGATTCCTTACAACTCTCAGTTGGGTTCCTAAAATACAAGGTTTCCTTCCTCTAAACTCTCTCTCTCTCTCTTTCCCCCCGCTCTCTCTCTCTCTCTCTCTCTCTCTGATGCCCTCAACCACAGGCTTCTATTAGAAATCAAAGCTTTTCCAAACCTTCCTAGGACCCTCATGTCCCAGAGTGAGGGCCTAGTTTTCAGCTGTGGCTATAAGTTTGTCCCTGCTTCTAGAAGTCCCCCCAAGACTACAGGAAAACATCTGAGGAGCAGAAGGATGTAGGCCAGGAGTGATTAGAATTGGGTTTCAGTCCTTACCCTAACCTGCTGAGTTCTTCCTGAACATAAGCTCTTTATGTGAAAGATATCTGAAGACAGAAGATCCCCAGGGTATTTTATTGAAAAACCATATCATTATTTCCTGGTCTAAAATGTACAGATTGCTAAAAATAGCCCTCTAATAAATGGAGAAGTTTTTCTCCAGTGGTTCAGTGCACTTAAATACATAGTGTCACCAGATCCCTGGAGTAGAGGCTGTTTCCCCCACTTTGCGGATGGGACACTGAGACATGAAGTTATGAGAGCTGGCCAGGGTCTTAGTGAATGGTGGCAGAGCTGGTCAGGATCCTGGTGTCCTGGAGGGTCCACAGAAGGACCTTGTGTTACAGACAGTTCACCTCTGTCACTGGTTCATGGCACAGGATGACTGTTATATGTTCAAGGAGTAAAATCACATGCTAGAGTTTCACCTAACAGTGATGGTGCTCACAGTGGGTTCAAGGCATTATGTCTTCAAGGAGAGTCCACATTAGACAGAAAGAGGAAGAAATTACCCAGATAAGTATTCTACAGAGCAGACCTATGAAAGGTCCCATGAAAGGGCCAAAGTGTAGAACCTGGAAGAAGAGAGAGAGCCCACATTTCATCATATTGGGAGCAAAGAGGCCTCATGGAAGCTCAGAAATCTTGGAGGCAGGACTCAAGGATGAATCAGATTTTTTTTTTCAAAAAAAATAACAAGAGTGTTTAAGAAAATTTAGTATCAAAAACTCATTTATCAAAGCATACAAAAACATAAATTGGGGAAAGGACACCTTATTTAATAAATGGTGCTGGGAAAACTGGCTAGCCACATGTAATAGAATAAAACTGGATCCCTGTCCCTCAACTTATACAAAAATCAGCTCAAGATGGATCAGAGGCTTTAATCTAAGCCCTGAAACCATAAAAATTCTAGAAGATAATCTAGGAAAAACTATTCTGGACATTGGCAAAGAATTCATGACTAAGATCCCAAAGCAAATGCAAAAATAAAAATAAAATAAACAAAAATAAATAAATGAAACCTAATTAGACTAAAAAGCTTTTGTACAGCAAAAGAAATAATCATCAGAGTAAACAGACAATCCACAGAATGAGAGAAATTATTTGCCAACTATGCATCCAACAAAGGACTAGTATCCAGAATCTACAAGGAACTCAAACAAATTAGCAAGAAAAAAACAAATAATCCCATCAAAAAGTGGGCAGATGACAAGAACAGACATTTATCAAAAGAAGATATACAAATAGCCAACAAACATGAAAAAAATGCTCAACATCACTAATCATCAGGAAAATGCTAATTAAAACTACAATGAGATACCACCTTACTCTTGCAAGAATGGCCATTAATAAAATGTCAAGAAACAATAGATGTTAGCATGGATGTGGCACAAAGGAAATGATTATACACTGCTGGTGGGAATGTAAATTAGTACAACTTCTATGGAAAACAGTATGGAGATTTGTTAAAGAATTAAAAGTAGATCTACCATTCAATCCAGCAATCCCACTACCAGGTACTTACCCAAAGGAAAATAAGTCAGTATATCAAAAAGACACTTGCATGTGTGTGTTTAATGCAGCACAATTCACGATTGCAAAGATACGGAACCAACCTAAGCACCCATCGACCAATGAGTGGATTAAAAAAATGTGGTTTATATATACCATGTAATACTACTCAGCCATAAAAAAAATAATGTCTTTTGCAGCGACTTAGATGGAGCTGGAGGCCCTTATGTTAAATGAAATAGCTCAGGAATGGAAAATTAAATACTGTATGTCTTCATTTATAAGTGGGAACTAAGCTATGGGTGTGCGAAGGCAAACAGAGTGATATAATGGACTGCAGAGACTCAGGAGGGGGAAGTTGGAGCTGAGGAATGAAAACCTACATATTGGGTACAATGTAAACTGCTGGGGTGAAATCTGACTTCACCAATATACAATTCATTTATGTAACCAAAAATCACTTGTACCCTAAAAGTTATTGAAATAAAAGAAATTCATAATCCTGCTTCCCGTTATAACAGAGATCCATTCTAGATCAGTCCATGCTCAACACTGGAATGTAGACATGTTTGGGCTAGAGAGCTGGGGGTAGGTCGCCAGGGTCCATTTGCCCAAGAGATATGGGAACTTGCTGGGACAGCATCAGGCACAATGTGCTGGATCAGTGACAAAGCCAAGGTGGTCAGAATGATGAGTCTGTCACCGTATCTGTCTCTTGGATTTGAGGCCCAGCCCAGCCTTTCATGCGTTCCTACTTAAGTGGCAAAGAGCAATTTTACTAAAATCACATGTCCATGGTTCTGCAGAGGATGGAATAACCTGAATTTTATTCAGTGGGCAATGGGACATCATGGAAAAATTCCTAGCAACAGAGAGGGAGCACCCAAGGGCTGACTCTTGACTGCAAAGATCACAAAGAAACTGTGGCACCCTGAGGCTTCCCACAGATGCAGTGCCACATCAAGACCCCAACGACCCATGTGCCTGGTGGAGGACATCAGTGCCTGGCACGTGGCTCATGTATGGGTATCACCTAGCCTGACAGGTGTCTGAGGCCAGGGCAGATTCCATGGGAGGGGCACTTGTCTGTCATGAGATTTCTTTTTGTGAAGCCAAAAGGGCTCCCAGGAATTTCTGGGGCCAGAATCTTGTGATAACAGGTGGAGGTAAGAGATAACCAAATGCAGTCTGGTCCTGTAAAAAGTGGTCACGCTTTAAACCCCACACAAGAGTAGCCCACAGAAACACAGCTTACATAACTATGTTCATTTTTTGTGTACCTGTTCCAGTCCTCATTCACTTGCACACATAACAATCATAGTGTATACTTTCCTGTAATTTGTTTTTATTTCAAATGTATCACTATATTACAAATCAGGGATGAAGAGATATGGGAGAAGGATTTCCATGCAGATGAAACAATATTACTTTAGAGCACCAGTTCTTACCAGGGTATGATTTTTGTCCCCCAGGGGTTGGACCTTTAGTAATGTCTACAGACAGTTGTTATTACTGGCGGCAGGGTGATATCACTGGGTAGAAGTCAGAGACGCTACTAAACATCCTGCAATACACAAAATGGCGCCCTCAACAAAAAAGTATCTGGCTCAACATGTCAATCATGCCAAGGTTGAGAAACTCTGTTTTAAGTACAGAGATCAGAAAGTATGATTACAGGAGTAATTATAAGTAGGCTGATTTGACCTGAATGTAGGATACACGTAGGGAGCTCAGAGGAGGGAAACCAGGAAGTTCAGCTGGGGCAAAATCCAAAGAACCTGAATTTTATTCAGTGAGCAATGGTATGTCATAGAAAAATTCTTAGCAACAGAGAGGGAGGACCCAAGGGCTAACTCTTGAGGTCTTTGGCTTGAGTGACTAATTCACAGCACAGAGGATCAGCTTTAGGGAGAAACACATTGGGATGTGAACATTGTGAGCAGTCCTGGGCACAGGGCACCAGGCAGAATTGTTCGAAGGCAGGGGAGAATGTGAGCTGGAATACAGGAGAGAGCTCCTGCCTGGTGCAGGAGATGACATTGAAGCCGCCCTAGTGGATATTATTGGGATGTACCTGGAATGTGTACAAGGGGAATTGGAGGAGACTGAGACAAGGACCCTTCAAAGGCAGGAGAGAAAGAGTGGTAACAGAACTGAGAAAGAAGCTGGCAACAGTAGTGTCACAGAAGCAAGGGTGCATCCCTTGCTCCCAAGAGACCTGAGGAGGGAAGGAGGCAGGTCAAAAGCTGCAAGATGGCAAAGAGACTGAGGAAGAGGAGAGCTGGGGGAAGCTCACCCCTGCCTTCAACAGGAAGAGCCAGGATTTGAAGTCAGGCCTGCTGGCCCCAGGCCCAGGGGTCTCCCCATTGGCTGCATCTCGCTGTATTAGGACCATGCAGACCCACGGATGGGCCTCTTATTTGGACACAGGGACTAGCGGGAGTTGCACCATCACAGACACAGAATGACGACTAACAGTTACCAGAACAGAAACAGTTCAGGGTCACATGGAAGCTTTCTTCTTTCTTCCAATATGAGCTGCAGGCCCTCTGGGGACTGCAGTGACTGCTTCTGCAGCAAAGTCTTTAAGTTAAACAAATAAATACTGCTTACCTCCTCCTGTGAAGCTCTCAGTGGTGAGCTGAGCCAGGCAGGCAGCATTTCCTGGCCAGGGGGTTACCAGGATCCTGATTTCATGAGATGCAGATGGCAAATAAACCTCGGAAGAGATGCTCCGCCATTCTAATGATTAGAGAAATGCAACTTGAAACAAGCATAGGATGTTATCTTTCCCCTAGCAGTCTGACAAAAATCAAAAAGCTTGTTAATAGCTTGCCCCAGCAGGGGTGGGTGTGTGGAGGGGATTCGTATGCATTGCCAGTGGAAGATTAATAGTGTGGCGTATGATCTTTTCGTAGGGCACCACCTGTCAAAAACATATATGCATATATGCATCTACCTTTTGCTCTGGTGATGCCACTCTCAGGCATCTATCCTTGAGAATGTTAACTGCAACCTGTAAAGGTAAAAACCTGGACACAAACTGAATGTTCATCAGTGAAGCACGAGTCAACTATACTGTGGTATATCCATACTGTAGGATGTAGCTGTTAAGAATAATGAGGCAGGTTCCCAGGTTAATATGGTCAAAAAGTTTAAAAGTCCAGGATTTATTCTGAAGTGAGACAAGCAAGTTGAAGTAGTGAGGCAATGTGCATAGTATGATTTATTATTGTTTATATATGAATGTACACTGTGCACCCCTAGGGAGAGTAGGAGAAAAACACACACCGATCAGTTGATAGTGGTTACTCCTTGAGAAAAGGACTGGGGAGGGGAGAAAAGGAGTGAGGCTTTCAGCTTTATACACTGATGTGCCATGTGTATTTTTACAAGAAGGCTGTGTTTTTTTGTGGGATTTAATGCCTGAAAGGTGGCTTTGCAACTGTCTTAGAAAAATCCCAGCTTGCTCACCTTCTCCAAGGCTGCTGGCTCAGACCTGGTAACCATGGCAACCTAGGGCACAAGACTCCATAAAGGGGCATTGTAGAACTGCTCCCTGGGCACAGTTATCATCCCCATTACTGTCACTGATGTAATAAGAGCAGGTCAACCTTTGGCAATTTAGAGCTGCTCCCAGCTACCTGGGCACAGGTGTTTTTGCTTCTCTTGTCTGTCTGTGGCTGCTGTCTCTCCCCACATCTGCCTGCCCGGGTGAAGGAAGAGAGGCAGCTGCAGGAGCTGCTGTTCTGGAGGCAGACAGGAAGCTGGTGAGGGAGCTAGGGAACTCCTGAGGCCTGCCTCTTCCTGTAGGAAGCAGCACTACCATAGAGATTTGGGACCAAGGGCACCATCCGCACTCTCACCCATTTCCTTTAGAGCTGTCTGCCTCATTCTCAGAGGTCCAGTCTGGCCCTGGGACTGACAAAGTCAGGGGCATTCCAGAGTCTGAGCCTTGAAACTCAGGTTCACTGCTTTGGATTCTGTCCAACAGAGCTTCAGACTCATGCCGAGAAAACACAACCAACAATTACTGAGTGCTTACTCTGGCCTGGCACTGTTCTGAGTTCCTGCTGCTCAGAGTGTGGGCTGTGGACCAGCAGCAGCAGCACCCAGTGGCTTGTTAGACATGCAGCATCTCAGACCCCAACTGCTGAATCAGAAGCTGCATTTTAACAAGACCTAGGTAATTCGTATGACACCAAAGCTTGAGAAGCACTGTTCTTCATACTTTTGATCTGTTAACTCAGTTAATCCTTTAAACATCTTCTCAGTTGAGTCCTTTTATTATCATCCACACTTCGCATACAAAAGAAACCTGAGTCATAGAGAAGTCAGGTAACTTTTCTTAGGACACACAGCTAGTAATTTTGATAGGTAGAATTCAAACCTAAATAAACCACCTCTGGAGCCTGCACAGTTAGCCACCATGATGCTGACCTTGTAAACAGCATGGAGAACAGCTTCTTTATCTATCCAAATGGCAGAGGGCTTAGGACACTAGTGAGGAATAAAGTCAACTTCACCAAGACTGACCTGATGAATACCATGTCTTTCAAAAGCATAGAAATGGAGACCAGAGTAGTGGTTGCCAGGAGCTAGGGACAGAGTTGGGTGGGGGTGGATTATGGTGGTGTTTGAACTCTCCTGCATCTTGATTGTATCATCATTGATATTCTAGTTGTGATATTTCACTATGGTTTTGCAAGATGTTGTCATGGGGGAAGCTAGGTAAAGTGTGTAGAGGATATCTCTGTATTATTTTTTACAACTGCATATGAATCTCGAAAAGATTTTAATTTAAAAAACAAAAGCCCCCACAGCTGAAAATTCCAAGCTTAGGACCCCATTAGATGAGCCAACTTTTGTGTATACACAATTAAAGGCCCAAGGAATGAGTGGAGGAATCCAATATCAAGTGCAGCTATATGCCAAAACCTTTTGTGCTTCAACACTGTTATGGTTTGCCTCTGCGTCCCCACCCAAATTTCATGTTGAACTGTAATTCCCGAAGTTGGGGGAGGGACCTGGTGGGAGGTGATTGGATCATGGGGGTGGATTTCCCTCTTGCTGTTCTTGTGATAATGAGTGAGTTCTTATGCTATCTGGCTCTTTAAAAGCATGTAGCACTTCCCCCTTCACTTTCTGTCTCTCCTGCTGCCATGTGAAGATGTGCTTACTTCCTCTTCACCTTCCACCATGATTGTAAGTTTCCTGAGGCTTCCCCAGGCATGCTTCCTGTTCAGCCTGCAGAACGTGAGTCAATTAAACCTCTTTTCTTTATAAATCACCCAGTCTCAGTAGTTCTTTATAGCAGTGTGAGAACAGACTAATACCAGAAAATTGGTACCAGAAGGGGGGCATTGCTATAAAGATACCTGAAAATGTCAAAGCAACTTTGGAACTAGATAACGAGCAGAGGTTGGAAGAGTTTAGAGGGCTCAGAAGAAGACAGGAAGATGAGGAAAGGTTTGGAATTTCCTGGAGACTCGTTGAATGGTTTTGACCAAAATGCTGATAGTGATATGGACAAAGATGGCCAGGCTGATTACATCTCAGATGAAGATGAGGAACTTACTAGGAACTGGAGTAAAGGTCCCTCTTGCTATGCTTTAGCAAAGAGATTGTCAGCATTGTGCCCCTGCTTTAGAGATCTGTGAAACTTTGAACTTTGAGAGATGATTTATGGTATTTGGTGGAAGAAATTTCCAAGCAGAAAAGCATTCAAGATGCAGCCTGACTGCTTATAAAAGCCTACACTCATTTTCATAACAAATAAATGACCTAAAACTAGAATTTATATTTAAAAGGGAAGCAGAGCATAAAAGTTTGGAAAATTTGCAGACCGATTATGTTGTAGAAAGAAAAACCCATTTTATGGGGGAAGAACTCAAGGGAGCCGAATGTTAATAGTCAAGACAATAGGGAAAATGCCTTCAGGGCATTTCAGAGACCTTAGCAGCAGCCCCTCCCATCACAGGCCTGGAGGCCGTAAAAGGGAAAAAAATGGTTTTGTGGGCCAAACCCAGGGCCTCGCTGCTCTGTGCAGCCTTAAGACATGGTGCCCTGTGTCCCAGACACTCCAGCTCCAGCCATGGCTAAAAGAGGCCAAGGTATAGCTCAGGCTGTTGCTTGAGAGAGTGTAAGCCCCAAGTCTTGGCAGCTTCCAAGGAGTATTGGGCCGGCAGGTATGCAGAAGGCAAGAGCTGAGGTTTGAAATCTAGCCTCCACCTAGATTTCAAAGGATGTCTAGAAGTCTGCTGCAGGGGTAGCCCTCACAGAGAACCTCTACTAGGGAAGTGCAGAGAGATATGTGGGGTTGGAGCCCCCACGGAGTTCCTACTGGGGCACTGCATAGTGGAGCTGTGAGAAGAGGGCCATAATCCTCCAGATCCCAGAATAGTAGACCCACCAATAGCTTGCACCATGAGCCTGGAAAGGCTGCAGGCACTCAATGCCAGCCCATGAAAGCAGGTGAGAGAAGGCTGTACCCTGCAGTGCCACAGGGATGGAGATGCCCAAGTCCTTGGGAGTCCACCCTTTGCATCAGTGTACCCTGGATGTGAGACACAAAGTCAAAGGAGATTATTCTGGGGCTCAAAAATTTAATGACTGCCTTGCTGGGTTTCAGACTTGCACGGGGCCTGTAGCTCCTTTGTTTTGACCAATTTCTCCCTTTTGGAATGGGAGCATTAACCCTATGCCTGTACCTCCATTGTATCTTGGAAGTAATTAACTTGTTTTTCATTTTACAGGCTTATAGGCAGAAGGGACTTGCCTTGTCTCAGATTAAACTTTGGACCTGAACTTTTGAGTTAATGAGTTAAGACTTTGGGGGATTGCTGGGAAGGCATGATTGTGTTTTGAAATGTGAGAAGGACATGAGATTTTAGAGTGGCCAGGAGCAGAATGATATGGTTTGGCTCTGTGTCCCCACCCAAATCTCACGTCTAATTACAATTCCCAACGTTGGGGGAGGGATTTGGTGGGAGGGGATTAGCTCACAGGGGCAGATTTCCCCTTTGCTATTCTCATGATAGCGAGTGAGTTCTCCCTCTGAATAAGGAGTTTTTGTAAAAGATCAGAAGGGTCTACAGTAAAGAGAGGAAGTCCCTGGAGGTCAGTTCATCAGGCTAATACATTCTTCCAGTTGGCTGTCACCCACAGCAACCTGCTCATGGCAAATGCAGGCTGGCAAGTGCTGCTGACACTCCTGCCCAGGGACTTTAGAGTAGATACACACAGTCAGCAGCTCTTTATTCAGAGGCCAGTAGGGCCTGTCATGCTAGAGGCAACTCTGCAAAATGAAGATCAAGAGAACTCTCTCGGGACTCCCATCTCCCAGTCACTTTGAACAGCAGTCTGTAACCAACAATTCCCATTCTGATCACTGCCAAAATCAACATTACTCTCTGTATACACAAAGAGCAAAGGATAACTGTTGGTTTTCTTTATTCCATAGCTCATGTCCTGGTTATGGCTGCCATGTGCCATAAAAATATGCAAGAGTTTGCATTTCACAAACATTTGACTTTCGTAAGTCCTCATTTCCCACAGAAAGCTCTGTTCTACAGCTTTCTGAGAAACATCTTTCACCAAACCAAGGTCTCACCTTGGTCTCTGCAGTAGAAGAGTAAACTGAAAAGAAAAATTCGTGTATTTGGATGTTGGCTCCAAACCCTATCTGGCCCTGGTCACCTGCTATGTATGATTTAGTTCTGCTTGAACTGAATCATGGTAGAACTAAATTACAGGGTTGGTCAATAGAAGAAAAGTGGCTGGTCTCAGCATCACCTTTGCAACACTCACCCTCTGAGAAGGGTACCTAATATTGTGAGTGCCCATTCAGATGCCCATTGAGGAGGGGTTATACTGGGTGCTCCTGGAGGGTGGAGGGGCAGGCAAGCTGCTCACCCTGAGATGGAGGGTACACTTGTTTCCTAGGGCTGCCATAACAAAGTATCACCAACTGGGTGGCTTAAGACAGCATATTATTGTTTCACTATTTAAAAGGCAAGAAGTTCAAGATCAAGGTGTCTGCAGGGCCTTGGTCCCTCAGAAACATGTGGAGCATTCTTCCTGGCCTCCTCCCAGTTTCCAGTGGTTTGCTGGCAGTGACAGTCCCAGGCGTTCCTTGGCTTGCAGATGGATAACTCCCGTCTCTGCCTTTATTATCACATACCTTCTCCCTGCATATCTCTTCTCCTCTTCTGATAAGGAAACCCAAATTGGGGGCCTACCCTACTCCAGGATGACCTCATCTTAACTTAACTAATTACATCTGCAATTACCCCATTTCCAAATAAGGTCACATTCTGAGGTACTAGGAGTTAGAATTTCAAAATCTAACTGTTTTGGAGGGGATATAATACCACCCATAACAGAGATGGGGACAGTCCCCAGAACAAGGAGAAGATGGTGTCTCAGGGGTTCCATAATCAGCAAGGTCCAGTGTCCTGGGAGGATGGCAGGAAGTTAGCAGACCTCCAAAGCAGGACACAGGACACAGGGGTCTCAGCTCTTGCAATAATCTAGTGCCCAAGCTGGGTGTAAAAAGAGCAAAGCTGTTCTAGCCAGACCGTGTCAGATTGGACAAGGAGCACATCAGGGTGGCCAGTATGAGGTGGGGACCAGAACACCTTCCCCAGTATGCTGGCCAGTGTGGTCCTGAAAACTTTCACAACCCAGGATAGGGGGGGATCAGAGAAGGAGTCCCAAGAGGGACAAAAATCAAATCCCCAGTCTTGACGCCGAGCTTATTTTTAAAATTAACGTAAACAGAGAGTACTTAAACCCAATTAATGTGATGAGTGCAAATTTATAACTATTCTAAACATATTCCTTCACCTATAGTTACACTCCTTTTCCATGCACTGCACAAAGACCACTCCTCAAGATAAGAAAGACATGAGTCAACGTGGCAAACGGGGTCAAAATTGACAGAAAGAGGGCAATCATGCATGTCAGCGGGGAGTAATGATGAACCTGGAGAAACCAGTATTGCTCCAGATCCCCCTCCCAAATCCTTGCAGAAAAGAATATTAATAAAATAAAATTCCAAAATCTGATCCCAGAGCAATAATAGAATACCCATGCCAAACTTCACAGCCGTGGGGAGGATGCACGTAGCTGAGCAATCTGGGGATAGCATTTCTCGACTGAAATTCTTGAAAGCTTGTGGTGCTCAGGCCAAAACGCTCTGGAAACCAAGTCCTGTGGAAAATGCAAACTTTATGAATCACACATGTGGCCACAAAGCCAGCCCTGCAGCTCTGAGTGAAAAGATTTGCACAGAAATCTGTCCCCACACTGAAGACCACCAGGGCTGATGTAGAGCGTACCATGGGCCCTGAGAGGATAGGAAACTCACTCAGCCCTTTGGGGACTTTCTTGGCAAACTCTGGAAGATACAATCCAGTGGAGCTCTGGGTTGGAATTAGATGCGATAGACAAAACGACCACTCTCACTGGCTGAGTGGTCTGCCTGGAGAAGAAGCCTCCAGGGGGAGAAACGAATCCTTTTCTAGCTACTTAACCTCTTTGTTCCTCCATTTTCTCATCCTTGAGACAGGGAGCACAGAAGAGCACTTATCTCATGGGGTTCTTGTGAGAGTGAAATGAGTTAATACACAGGAAGCACTTAGAAAGCGCCTGGGCCCTCAGAACAGCCAACGTAAGTTCTCACCTGCAGCAAGCACTCGTAGCAAAGCCGGAGTTTTGGAATCTTCCCCTGAAGTTGCATCTCTTCCAGCACTCCCCCTCAATTTTCATTTTTACTTTATAGATCTCGGATTCCCTTCCCGCTTTGTCTCCCAACAACCTATTCGCAATCTGGAGTGCTTCCCACTCAATGTCATAGGACCTAAGGCCAGGAAAGGCCCTGCTAGGTCCCCCAGCTTCCGCCTCTGCCCCAAGGCACAGCTCTGTTCACACTGACTCCGACAGATGGATGTCGTTTCAATACAGGAAATATTTATTGAGCATCCACTCTGGGCCAAGCCTTATGCTCGGCGCTGCTAGGAATACACACAGGAGAGGGGCAGGCCGAGTTCCCGCAGTCTATGTGGGAGAACTGGAAACTCCAGCAGCAGCTGATGCTGCAGGCCGCAGGCAGACTTTCTTCTCTGGGAAACCCCAGTTTCTGCTTTTATGGCCTTTGACTGATTGGACAAGGCCCACCCAGATCATGAAAAGTAATCTCCTTTATGTAAAGTCAACTGACTGCACATGTTAATCACATCTAGATTTGTGTTTGATTAAATAACTCGGTAGTGTAGCACAGCCAAGTGGATACATAAAATCAACCACCACCACAGACTTGTTTGTCCTTGCCCTGCCCACTTTACGTCCAGTGTTTCTTCCTGAGCTGTAGGTCTGTAACCTATAACAACTTCAGGCCCATCATGAGATGCAGAGAAAACAGCTTTCTGTGGAATTCTTCACCAGCTCCCACACTTACATTAGTTTGAATCCCCTAGAGAAATATTTCATTCCATTTCACTCATAATGGTTCTCCTTCCCTGACTGAACCCCAATTGATATAAACCCTATGTCCCAGAATCGTCTGGCCTTATACAATATTGGAATCGACTCCTGAGTCCTTAGCTATGGCTGGTTGTGAGACCACAGCTTGCAAGATTGGGGGCTCTCCAACAGGCGACAGTTGCAATTTTAAACCAGCCACCAATACATGATGCCATTTCTTCCACTGCCATAATATAGGGACCCAGAAATCCAGGCTCCCTGCACTATTGTACCTAGTAACCCATACTTGCAATTTTGGGTACTCCTTTTCCCTAGACAGTTGCCCGCGTTTGTCTCTCCTGCTGAATATGTCAAAATTGGGTCCCACTGATGGCTGTTTCGTAAGCAGGCTGTGGCTTTCTGGCTGCCACTGCCACTAAGAAACAGGGGCTCTACATTGCAGGTCCCAGGTTAGCCCTGCCACTACCCTCACCACCATCCAAAGCTTCTCAACCCCAGAGAGAACTACGTTCCCTATGAGACCCCTGAGTATGTGCTTGCCCCGTGGCTGTGTCTGGCTATACAATTCCTGGAACAACTCAGTCCTGGAGGTTGGATCCCATAAGGAAATACCCACTGTCAATGAGATATTCCTTCTCTGGACACCCATCATGGACATGGCCTCCTGATTTTGCCCTCACTGCGTTCAACTCCTTTATCTTCCAAAGGAAGCTTACGGGGAGTGGAGACTGGTCTGTCTTATGGGAAAGTCTTCTCCCTCCCTCTGACTCTTTGTATCTTAACTAGCCTGCAGTCTCCTCCTCCTCCTCTAGAGAAAATATGCAGAATGGGTACACTCCTCACCTCCATCACTGGTCTTGAGGTCATAATTGATATCTATGGCTTTCTTCTTCTACTAACCAATCTGTGCTTCCCCATGCTCAGTCAGGACTTAAGCAGACTGGGGTCTTTACCTGGTAGAGTGACCAAAACCTTAATTCCTGAAGGGTCTGAGTCGTCAATTACCCTGCCTGTATTTTGGTTACTGTAGTTTTCCATTAACTTTTACTAGTAGGTATGGAAGTACTAAGAGGTGACCCACAGAATCTCCTTGGCTCCAGAAATAGTCTCTCTTGCTCCCATTATATAGCTGCAATCCAATCACCCCTTGGTGTTCAGGATCAATCACTCCAGCCAGTAGAGTAGCTCCTTTTTCTGCCTGTTGATTCAGTGGCCTTGTCCTGGTCTGTTTATGCAGTTATAACAAGATACCTGAAACTGGGCAATTTATAAAGAACAGAAATTGATTTCTCACAGTTCTGGAAGCCGGAAAGTCCAAGATCAAGGTGCCAGCATCTTGTGTGGGCCTTCTTGCTGTGTCTTCCCATGGTGGAAGGTGGAAGGGCAAGAAAGGATGAATGCTGTGTTCTCACATGGCAGAAGAGTGGAAGAGCCTGAACCCACTCCCACAAGTTCTTTTATGATGGTGTTAATCTATTCGTGAAGGTGGAGGCCTCATGACCTAAACACCTTTCATTAGGTCCTACTTCCCAGCACTGTTGCATTAGAGATTAAATTTCTGATACATGAATTCTGAAACACATTCAGGCCATCACAGTCCTTAAGCCCAAAATGACCAGATCTTTCTTTCAGTTTAATGAAATCATAGTTGTAGCTCCCGTGTAAAAATAAAATTATGTGCATAGATTACTAGACATAATAGTAAGAGATGTAACTCTCTTTATATCCCTTGATTCCCAGACCCTTGTATTCTGGCTATGGGGAAATCGTGCCATATTATGGCCTCTTACTCAAAGCATATACTATGTCCTTTAAGACAGCACCCAATCCTTTCAGGGTGTTTAATCCCAAATGGTGCTGCAACTGAGTCTTCTGTAAGTGACTGCACCTTTCATTTAGCCCAGTCACTTCCAGTTAATGGGGTATATAGTGAGACCTGTTAATTCCATGGAAATTAATCCATTGCACCACTTTCTTTGCTAAGAAGTGGGTTCTTGGATCAGAAGCAATGCTATGGAGAATGCCATAATGGTGGATAGGCATTTTGTGAAACCACAGATGGTGGTGCTGGCAGAAATACTATGTGCAAAGAAGGTAAGTCGATTCCTAGAATACATCTCTATTCTCATGGTGACAAATCTCTGCCTCCTTCATAATAGAAAAAGTCCATTGTAATCAATCTGCCACCAGGTGACTGTCTACTCACCCCCAGGGAATGGTGTCATATCGGGGCTCAGTGTTTAGTCTCTGCTATAGATAGGTTAGGCACCCAGCTATAGTATTAGTACAGCCTTTATAAGAGGAAGTCCATCCTGTTAAGCCCCTGCATAGTCTCCATCCCTGCCAACTTGGCTTCTTTGTTCAAGGTCCCATTGAGCAAGCACTAGGGTGGCTGAGGGAAGAAGCTGACTGACAGCTCCTGAGCATGTTATTTTGTCCGATTATTAACCTCTTCTATAGTAATGATGCTCTTTGGGCATTCACATGGGACACAAATATCTTCACCATTTGTGCCCATTCTGAGAGAGATCCATCCATATACATCTTCCCTAGACTTTATTATCACTAATCTTCCAATCCTGCTACTTCCAAGCTCCTGTCTATCCAGCCAAACCATTAGTAACTACCTGTAAATCTATGTGGATCCATACTTCTATCTTTCATTTCACACTAGTGGACAAGCAAATGCACTCCTCAAAGTTCTGCCCACTGGGTCCAATCAGGATAAAGAAATCACACAGTAATTTTCAAACAGAAAAAAGTTTAGTATGAAGAATTATTAATAAAAGAGCAGAATTAACCCTGGTAAGAGTTAAAGAATATAAGAACAGCAGATACAGGTAGCAGCCATTACCCCTAAGGCTGAGATTGATGCCCACAGAAGAGCCTCTTCCTCCCACTAGGGCTGGGATTAAGATCTTGGAGAGGGGACAGCCATGGCCTACTGGATGAGAAAAAAGTAATGAAGGCAGATGACTTGCTGGTAGGACTTGCTGGGAATCTGCCTACTAGGGTGTCAGGGGAAGGTGTCCACAAATGCCATGTCTAGGAACTCACTGTACAGTCACCTGAGGGAGTCCTGGGGGAAACCACTCACAAGTATGAGTGTGGCATTCTGCTGGAAGGTTGCCAGAGGACATGGTTGAGAGGCAGGGGGCTGTGAGTCACTGGGTACTATAGGAGCTCAAAGAGCCCCCTCTGCAGGAGCCAGGCATTGGGAAAAGGAGTTCACTGCATGAGCCTAGCATAGCAGAAACTACATGCTCTCAGGACCTGAGCCTGGAGAAAGCATGCTCTGTAGGAGCCTGGTGGACCAGGCTCATGGGACCCAGGAAGGGGAAACCCCTTCGCTCTCCAGTGTCCCTCCAATGCTTTTTGTCAATAAGGGAAAAATATTTTAAAAACCCACCTCCGTTATCAACAAGCAGAAAAATAAGGGTAGATTTGGAGCTGAAAGGCAATATATTGATAACTGGCATGGGTGAAGGGGTGTCAGGAAGTGGGGCCAGAGAGGAAGGCAGGGAGTAGGCCAGCATATGTATATTATTCTCTGAATAAACTGAGCAAACAAAGCTCTTGATCAAGAAATAGGCCTAGAGCAATCAGGAAGCAGAAAATGAGCTCCTCTGCCTATGCCCCCCATTGCGCTCACCACACACACACACACACACACACACACACACACAAACACGCACAAAGATGACAGGCTTAATCCAAAGGTAGGGACTGGATGTTCTCAGTTCTGTTTGACTCTAAGCAAACCACCCTTAAAAAACAAATCTTGTGGTCCTGACATTGAAACGAGCACCTTCTCCCATTTCCCTGGAACCTGGCCACGGCTGAGCTAACAGTGGGTGCTTATTAACAATCAGTTGCTTTGAAAGAAAGAGTTTTTTTTTTTTTTAGTTCCACTCCATCAGTGACTGCACTTTTTGTTCAAGGTCATCCCTTGTCCTGGAGTCATCCTTCCCTAAGGCAGCACCCTCCTGATGACCCCGGCTGGTTCCTGGGAACTCACTGTGTCTGGAGGCTCTCTCCCACCCCATGTGAAGGAAGCATCATCCTCAGTCACTGTTGCCACAGCTCTGACCTCTTGAATGCTGGCAATGTCCCTCCATTCTCATGACTAAGTGAGCTTGGAGTATACCTGTCAAGGAAAGGCGAGGAGAAGGGAGAAACCACACTTTGAGTGGCAATGGTCTACAGTGTGTGGCTTAGAGAACCAAGCTGACACAAGTCAGAAGATACAGGCCTCAGCAAGGACTATGAGGTTGAACAAGGCTTCACAGAATTTCTGGCACTGGAGCTGGGCCTCCTGATAGCTTTCTCCCCAAGCAATTATGGGCCACCTAAAGAAATGAGACTGTAGGAAATATAAGAATATAGATTTTGAAAAAATATGAATGATCATAAAAAAAGGGCAAACTATGAGAATGGCCTCTGACAATGGCTGGCAGGAGAAGCAAGCAGATGTAGGAAAGGCTGCATTAATTCACTGTCTTTCCACATGTGCTTAGGAAGCCATGGTTCTCGGTTTCTTAGCCAAGAGTCTGGCATTTTGCTGCATGGGTGCTGTGCTTAATCTAGGGCATGTCCATTCCAAGGTTTCTGATGGGTACACACATAGTCCTCTTTGCATCCTGTATCCCCCATGATCTTCCTAACCCCAAAGACACCCCCTACTGCCCAGGACACAGAGTCAAACAAACCCTGCATGTGCATCTTCAACGCCTGTATTCCCTCACTCATTCAAACCGCTCTGTGCAGCCCGAGCCCAGCCCCTCCTGGCTTTACAGCCTTAGCCTGTGCTGTTATGTTGCCTGGGATTCCTTTCCCTCCACCTTGGTACACTGGCTCCTCTTAACCCTTCTGGTCTAACTAAAGGCACTATCCCAGAGGAGAAGTCTTCCCTGACCACCTCAATGGAGTCACTGGCCACTCTCATCAGAGCACCGTCTGCCATTTGTTACCCCTTCTTCACCTGTGGTTTACCTGTTCATATTCCTTCTCCCCAGCTGGGATACAGTCACCATCAAGTCAAGTACCCACATAGTTCCTGGGATGGATTAGACACTCGGTAAACACTTGATGAAGAAAAGAATAAAGCCTTATAGACTCATGTCCCCCTCATGAGGGCTGCCCTAGCCAACTGATACCAGGTTGATCATTTATACCATTTTTTTAAAATTTGTGTTATTAACCACAGAACTCTTTTCCACCCTAAAATAATCTTATCCCACAAGGCCCCACACCTAGTGACTTCTGTGGATGCTGTGGTTGCCAAATACCTCAGGGCACGGGCCAGGCACAGGACAGGGTTCCCACTATTGTCTCTACTCCATCTTCCCATAAATTGGTTAGCTGGGACCTCATCACTCAGTCACCTGGCTCCAACAAGAATCCAAAGCTGGCCGGGCGCGGTGGCTCACGCCTGTAATCCCAGCACTTTGGGAGGCCGAGGCAGGCAGATCACGAGGTCAGGAGATCGAGACCATCCTGGCTAACACGGTGAAACCCCATCTCTACTAAAAATACAAAAAATTAGCCGGGCGTGGTGGCGGGCGCCTGTAGTCCCAGCTACTCGGAGGCTGAGGCAGGAGAATGGCATGAACCCAGGAGGCGGAGCTTGCAGTGAGCCGAGATGGTGCCACTGCTCTCCAGCCCGGGCGACAAAGCGAGACTCCGTCTCAAAAAAAAAAAAAAGAATCCAAAGTTGGCAACAGGAAGTCTGCAGGGCCCTTCCAGAGGGAAGCTGGGAAGTTAAGGCTGCAGGCTGCAAGCCCTTGCTCCTGGGAGAGGACTAAGAAGCTGGTACCATAACCGGTGTCCAGGCTGCTGGTTTGCCCCAGCTCTGGGCAGCCACAGGTTCCCTGTCATGATGACCAGCTCATGCCTTGTCTTATCCTGCCTCTTCCATGCTTTTACTATGATTCTTATCCACAGGCACCAGGAAAAAGGGCCTTTCTAAGCACTGTTTACATTCTTGTCATTTTGCCTGTGTTTAGACTTACAAAAAACTCATCTTAAACATTTACAAGCAATCATAGGCCCTCATGGATTTCAAATAAAATTTCCTATAAACCAGTCAACTTCAGAGTCTCTGTTCCCCCTAGGATCATAAACCCTCAGAGCTGGTAGGCCCTTAAGCTAGAGAAACTGAGGCCTTGGGGGTTGGGGACCTGCCCAGGCTCGCATGGCACTTAGTGCTACAGCTGGGCTGGAGCGCAGGTCTCCTGCCTCCACAGCCTGAGATTTCC